AATAATCCTAATCAAAATTTAATCAATCTGAAAAAAACTTTAAAAGAAATTAAAAAAAAAAAAAAAAAAACATAAAGAAGTCAAAAATTAACTTCAAAGAAAATTAATAAAAAAAATCCTAAAATATATAAAATAAAAATCTTTAAAAAATAATAATAATTTCCTAAGATTCTAATAATAGAAATATTAAATAAATCCTAAATAAATATTAGATAAATCCTAATAAAATCTTAATATAGTCCTAACTAAATTCTAATAAAATCTTAATGAAATCCTAACCAAATTCCTAGACCAAATCCTAATCAAATCCTAATCAAACTTTAGAACAAATTCTAGATCAAATCCTAAAAATCCTAAATTAATCACTTACTATATTCTTTTTCAAACTTCAATAAATATTAATTGAACCATTGATCTTAACTCAAATTCCACTCAAATTTTAATCTATAAGCAATTAACAAGTACACAAATTTTGAAGAAAATTAAATTTCTAATTCAAAAGAATAAGCTCCTAAATCACTCAAATATTACCTAACTTCTTTTTCTAATCAAGATGTTGATATTCCAATAGTAATTTTTCTTTTTTGAACCATTAATTTTTTTCAAAAATTGGCTAATATATAAAATTTGAAATCCAAATATTTTTCATAAATTTTTGCTTCAACCAAAATGGCAAATGTTACAAAATTACAAGAACCCTCACTAATCCTAAATTCCAATTATCTAAGACCATAAACACAAAAAAATTCATAACCATTTACCTAATTATTTGATCAATATCAAATTTTATAAATATATATTTTTAAAAAAAAATAAAATAATGCACTAAAAAAATTCACCTTTAAATATACTATAATACTATAAAATCTTTAAAATTATGAACTTCTTTTTATTTTTCAAAATAAAAATCCACTAAATACATCTCTCACTTTGAAAAGCCCTCAAAACCTCAATATGCCTTCAAATCACATAAAATCAAATCTCAAAAATCTTTTTCTAATTTTTTTGCCAAATTCCACTCTTTGATCAACCAAAGGGCTCTAAAGTTGCCATAGGTGCACAATTTTGTCACTTGAGGTTTGATTTCGACTTTAGTTCACAACTGGTCCTTTTTAGATATCAATTCTTATTATTTTGTGGTAATTTTTGCTAAAACCTATTCTTAATATCCTCCTAAAGATGCTTATATTAATTATTTATCTCATTTATTTTTATTTGGCTCATTTATGTCTTATAAAGTATGTAGAAGTTTCTTCTACAAGAAAGTAGTATTAGTACTTATTAATTTTTTTACCTTCTTATCTATTATCTATATTTTGAAATAATTTACTAAAATATTTTTATGTAGAATATTTTATAATAAAATATTTCTTTTTTTTTCTTTCACCTAATGGTTGTGTTACTACACAACAACATACATCTATGAAAATCTATTTTTTTTTTCTTCACAAAGAATATAGATTTATCCGTAGGAGATTTCAAATGTCAAATAAAACTATTTGTTAGAATCTCATCAATATACTTTTTCAATATTATAAGCTTATTTTGTCATAAGTTATAAATTGGACTAAAAAGTGGTTTTGCGCCATCTTGAAATTCAATAGTACAATCATATAGATGATATTTTAACAAGGTATTTGTATTCTTTATTTCAAATACATCTTGAAATTATATTTGTATTCATTTAGAATGATTGTAAGAATATGTGCAGCTTTAGATATTTGGATTATATAAATAATAAAAAAATATTATTTTTATTATTCTTATTTAAATTCTAGCTTGAATAGAATAAAACTTTATAATATTAGATCTTAAAAAGCATATGGGATTTCTTATGAATTTTAATAATAATATATTGTGCTATTTTAAAATTTTCTATTTTATAATATATCTAATTTATATAAGGATTATATGTTTCTAGCTAAGAAAGTCTTAAAATCATATAATTAAATAAAGATACGATATTATAGAATACAACTTAACTATTATGATTCTCTAATGTTACTTCTCATAGGCTAGTTTTATAAGTAACATATCTACAAGATAACTATCAACCATCTACAACCTCTATATAGATGGCCTTAGATTTCTTAACTATAGGAATTTTATGCATTCTTAAAATTCTAAATTAATAAAGCAAGCAAAAGTACTTAAATTTATTAAAAGAATGATTTTGAGTATTTTAAAATCCAAATATATTCATATGGTAAAGCAATAAAAAATATTAAATTATAACATAAGATCTATTTTAGTTTGTAAAATAGAAGAATCTAGCTGCACTATCCTTATTATGATTGAACACTCTTGTTGTTTTAAAAAGTATTTGGTAATGTGATCACACTTCTCATCCAATGTGTATATTATGGCTTTTTACAGCAACCATCAACCTTATGGCCAAATTCTTTAAAGAATAAATACAAACTATATTATTTTTTATATCTCTTTTATTTAAGAAGAAGTTTGAAGCAAATTGCATCAATCTACGTATCTTCTATTTTCTAAAAAAAAATAAAATTAGATGATATAAAATATGCCAAATAAAATCATGGTACCAATAATGAATATTTATCTTATTATTGTTAAAAAATCCAATTATAGTACTTCACAACTTGATTGATGGTTTTAATGACTAATTGATAATTTGATATAGACAATAATATGTCTTCTAAATCATCTCTTAATTTCTAGTAAAATTATCTATTGATGTCTATTTTTTCTAATTTATAATACTTGCTCGTTGTTAAAAATCTAAAGCTTAGATAGCTCAAAACAAGTTCATTGTCAAAGGCTTGAAATCTTAGTTGTTCTAAAACAAATCTTGTCATCTTTATTAAATGCTTTTACAAATGCCACCAAAAATATCTTAAATTTATGCTATATAAAAGAATTATTTTTAAATTTTTGAAATAAAATAAGACAATGCTTAACCTAAGAGTAAAGTTACAATCAAACTAATACAAGATACTTTTTTAGAATATTATTGAAGTTAGAGCAAAAAAAATAAATTATACTTGAGTTAAAATGAAACAAGGTCTCTATCTTATCTATCAATGCTTCTAAAGCATTTATAATTGAATCTAATTTGGCTTCTTTAGAATCTACCATATTGATTTTTTCACTTCTTGCTATTAAAATAAAACAAAAAAAAATAGATAAAAGAAATCAAAAACAATATATGTCTAAAAAAAGATCATCCATCCTTAATATTAAAAATACTATAATAATTTTAAGAAGGAAGGTAATTTTTTCTCAATTCCAAAAGACTAAGTTCAAAGATTGTATTATGTTATTTTCAACAAAATGTTATAGAGACACAACTTACGAAGGATTAAACTTCAAAAAAATAAAAGAAAATAGATTTATTTTCTATCACAAAAAAAGAGCTATAGTAAGAAACAAGAATAAGACCAAAATGCTTAAGTTGAGCCATATAGATTGCATTGTTGAAACTAAACATCTGCTTAGCCTTGACTCTTATATGTATTAGGTACAAAAAGCTTCTATAGAAGTTTCTTTGATATTTAGAGGTGAAACAAGCCTCTAAGTCTCATCTACAATCATCTAAGATTCATTGAAATCTTTCATAATTTTTTTATTGTTTTTTAGAATCTACTAGTATTTATTACAAATTTCTCAAAATTATTGAGAGTCTTCTACAACCTTCTAAGGCCTAGTAGAATTTTTAAGAACCTTCTACAATTATCAAGGACAAAGACTCGATGAGAGAAAATATACACAAAAAGGCTATCTCGATATAATAAGTTAAAATATAAATAAGTATGTATATTAAAAGGAAACTGGAATGGCTATTGCCAAAAGACAAGAAAACTAGAGACCCTTGAAACTAGACTGGAAGCAAGAAAGGAGTTGACAAGAGTGAAGAAGCCTTCACTCTTGTCTCTATATATACTATCTAACTAAGAGCTACGTGGCGACGTTCTATAGGACCTCCAATATGTGTTGACTTTGTAGGGCACATGCCTTGACTTACAAGGCAAGTTTTTCTATGTGTGGGCCACATAGTTAGCTTGATCTTCAAGCTAACAACATGTGTGGCACATGGCCAACTTGTTGACCACGTTTCTAATCCAAAAAGTCAATTAAAGACACCTATGAAGTCAAAGCAGCGTCTAGGAAGTTTCTAGGAAGCTTCTATATTAAATATTATAGAATTAACTTACTTTTATCTACTTTTACTTACTTCTACCTATTTCTATATGTAATTATTAGCTTACATGATTATGGCCATGACAACAATCTACTTCTATTATATGTGGATGACAACTTTTATTAAAATAAGCTTTAAATAGCATTCCAAAAAATATTTAAAAAAAACATAATTTATTATTATTATTTAATGGTATTTAGATGTAAGTAATTAAAAATATATAATCATTAATATACCTTAATTATATATCTTATCTAAAAATAACTTATTTATTTTAATATTATATTTTCTTACACCAATATTTTTGTAGTGGTTTTGAAGTACATATATCAAAATCTAAAATCTACTCTTTTATAGAATATGTATTAACAAAGGTTTTATAAAAATTAAAAAATTATAATTTTATTATTATTTCTAAATTATTAGTTTAGATGGAGAGTATTTTTAGATTATAAAATTTCTTAATTTTATTCAAATGTTAGCAAATTAATGTTCAAATGCAAAATTTAAAAATGTACTTTGTTATAAATCATACTTTGATAGAAAAACATTAAGTAAAATATTATATGGTCCATAATTTTTATATGAATTATAATTTTATTAAAATTATAGTTTCTAAATAAAAAATCTAAAATTTCAAAAGAATTTTTTTAATAACTCTTTCTTAAAAAATATTTGAGGGATTTACTCTATGAAGATAGTATCTATTTTTTTTAAGATACAAAATCACTCTTACATAATTATTACCTTTCAATACTCTACAATCTATGTTAGATCACATTAACTATTTTTAATGTGATACATCATCCAACTTATCCACAATCACATTTAATATACTTCTAGTTACAACTCTAAACATATTCATCTAGATGTCATTATAAAAATATAAATAACCACTCAATAGTTGTATATTTTGTACTTTGATTTCTTTTCTAATCTAAATTTGTCAATGTGTAACTTAGTCCTAGTATACTTTACTACCCTTAGGGACTTTTGAGATACACCACCTCACAAAACAAATCTAATTACCAATTAAAAATCACCAATTAAAAATCACCAATTAAAAATCACCAATTAGACGAAGAGGAACAATGCAAAATACTCATCTCAATAAAATAAAATAAATAAATAAATAAATAAAACCAGAAAACCAGAAAACTCAAACCACGGAGGCTGGGAATCCGCGTGGGCCATCGCCGCCAACGAACACCATTCGAGCAGCCTAATGGACAAAATCAAATCCAGCACTTGCAAAGCTGATCAACTTCTCACAATCGTATCAACCCGCTAAGTTATCAGCGTTCGTGACAAGGATTGATTTTGTAATCTACACTTCCCCACGCCCATGCCCAAATTACGAAAGACGCTTCATCTGAGGTTTCTCAGTCTGCCAGCGGACACGCTTGCAATCCCTTCACATTTATGACTCGGTCTTAATACTTGCTTCAGGGATTGACAGGATGTTTCGCTGAAGGAAGCATTCACAAAGTGTCTGACACATCACTCCAGAGAGTCTTCGGTTCTGTCAGCTTTCTCCAACGCCTCATTAATGTCGAGCGCATCTTTGCTTTTTGCCCGTCACCACTTGCTTACTGATTTTGTGCAACACATGCGGAATGATTGGGGGAAAAAAAAAACTCAGACTCTGAGTAGTCATGACGCCCAAGGGGAGAAAAAAACAGGAATGCCGCCCCAATGAATATGAAGATAATTTTAACGCAAGCAAGCAAGCAACGTGGGAAGCGCAAACACACAGCTGAACAGTTAAAGGAATGCATGAACTAGACCTAGGTTGTGTAGAAAGGCGAGGTGGCAAGAGGACCCGCTTTCTGGTCACCACGAAGGTGATCCCGCCGTCCCCCCTTCAAATCACAAGCTCTGACAATTTCTTCCACGCGTTGGCTTCATCACCAACGGCTCTCGCATGCATGTTGATGAAACCGTTTGGATCAGAGAAGCTCCATTTCTCCGCCTGCGAGTTTGAATCTGATTCATCACATCAACATTCAAATAGGATGCGAATACTTTCTACTTCTAAAGGCCATGTGTAGCGTTCTGTGCAGATTTGTTTAGGAACTGTAGAAAATGTTCCGATGAGCCGCCCTATTTATAGACAAAGCTATTTTTGACTTATGTGTAAATTTCGGGATGAGTTCATTCATCTGAACGGTATATCGGGTCACTTAGGGTTTCAGATGCTGCATTTAATGTGATGGAACCGGAACCCCACAATGATGTGGATTCACGGCTCCTTTGGAGCAGCTTTCAGCAAGACGCCATTGACTTCTTTTTAAAAAGCTTCCAGAGTAAGCTGTACTTGGAAAATTATCACCTCCAAAGACAATAAATAGTGTTGCTCTCTGATAATTGAGCGTCAGCGATCATTGGGACTCATATGGACTCATCAGTGTGAGTGGCAGGCAGATGTAAAATGTTTGAGATGGTGACTACAAAAAGCGTACAGCTCGCGAAAGGAAACCTCAGTTGTGCATTTTGGCTGGTTTACCGCTCGAGCATCTGGTTGTGAGAGCTCCTCTTTGTTTATTGTTTTGTTTTTTTTGTTTTTGTTTTGTTTTTTTTTCTTTTTCTTTTTTGTCCTTCTCACTATGGCAACCGTTCAATGGAAGTAGAAATTGGAACGAGTATTAAAAATATTCAAATGATGGTACGTATACATTAAGAAATGTTACACGCACACACATTAATTGCGCAGAGGGTGGGACTTTCTAATCAGGCAAACAGCGAATGACTTCAATTGAAGTAAAACCGAGCCTCCACATGGAGATTTTGAATTTTTCATGTCACAAATTGAAAACATTGATACACGATTAAGAAGATTAATACAACAACCGTCTAATCAATCACATTTATCCAAGAATAATGATGATTTTTTTTAAAAATCAAATCAGAAATCCGATACTCTCTAATTCGTCAGGTTCCATTCTGCAATAGTCAAAAGGATGTTTAATTCTGTAATAATAGCACATAACGACCTAAAAAAATGGAAGGTTTTTACACCTACAAGAAGCTATTCATTATTTATGTTCAGCCTCAAACTTCAATGCAGAACCCAGACCTGGACTTTCCACGCTTAAAGTTGAGATCAACATTAAAATGAGGATGCATGGAAATACTTTTCCTCGGCGATGTTGCAAACCACTGTCAAGGTGGATTCGGCGAGTCGATCACGTAGATACATACCCACAGAGTTCAAGGGAGAATGTGTGTGTAGATTACAAACCCTCGGCTTTTCAACACACACACACACATAAACCCTTGAACCGTCTGGAGCTCAGCCGTTGCTTTGGTGCCCAAGTAGTGGGTTTTCGGCAACTGAGTGTTGGAGGATGGATTTGAAAGAAGAGGAGCAGCAGTCTCCGAAGCATGGGCTCTGATGCTCTGTGCTGTGGAATCTGGCGGAGTATCAACCTGGGAAGAGGCAAATCGGTGGCGCAGTTGCGTTGTTGCTACATTCCAGCATCTGCGACGATCTTGTCTCCAGCAACAGCTTTGAGATCGCCTTCTACAACAAGCTCAACACTTGTGAAAATGCTGTTCTTTTGGCTTCAAATTGGCTATCGGTAGCCATCTTGTGACGCTCCTAAAGCATCACCTTTTGTTGTTGATAGTGAGCATTTTCGAACAGGAAAATAGATAAATAAAGAAACTGACAGACGAACTAACAATACAATACGAACAATCTTGAAGGTGAAAATGAAATGTTTTTGCGATTCGTTTAAATTGTTAGAAAACGATGACATCAAGATGGTGTATATTGCATTAGTACATTCTTCTTATTATTGAAGCCTACATTAGTGTACATTTTTCTTTCTAAGAAAAAGGATTGTGAAGAAACTCGGCTATTACTGAGTTATATTTACGGCTAGAATTTGAAATCATTGGAATACTAGAAAATAAAGTTGGGAGCTTGTAAATCAAAGGGAAAATTTCAAAACCACCCTTGGATTTTTTTGAAATATCAAGAATACCCCCGTATTCTTGATAATAGCACACATACCCCTCAATTTTGTCATAATTTCAAATCGAACCCTATGTCTGATAATTTATCACAAAATTTTCAATTTTACATTCAAATGGGCCCAAGCCGCGTGCAGTGCAGCCCTTTTCTGCTATTTTCATCTGTTTCTGCAATTCTCTCCCGAACATTGTGTTGCGGCCCAGGTTGTCTGCCACGGTCCTCGCTACCACCACCACTATGCTCTCTACCCCCGCAGCGTCCCCTCCCCCGTCACCACTTGCGGCTCTCTCCCCGCCCCGCACTGCAGCATCTAGTGATTTCTCGAGTTGCAGGTAATATTCATTCATAACCCAACTAAATGCGCTACTTCTTCAAAATCAGCCAAAAGTCACATCCACCCCCAATGGCCCGCCACTCAATAACACACAAACATCCAAATCATCCAAACATAACAACTCCGCAGATTATGCGGTCCAATGAAACAAACCGCGAACCACTGAATACAGATGTTAAGCTTCCAATCGAAGTCGAGGAGGAGAAGAACGTTGAAATGTTTTGTTTCTTGCACTGCGATTTCCAGTTAGCTACTGATGCAACGGCGATTTGGTGCAAGCTGATTGCTAGCTACCAAGCCTTCAATTTTATAGGCATGCCGGAATGCAACGTCAATCTGGCACAGTGCGTGACTTATCTCGCACTTGCACCAAAATCGGTTGTGCTCTATCATGCTATAGAGGCAATTCAGCGACTGGTGAAAGGAACCAAGAAAAATGAGGCTGTGCCTATGCATTTGAGAAATGCTCCTACGCAGCTCATGAAGGATCATAACTACGATTGTCAAGCAGAACCTACGTACTTCCTACCTCCATCTCTTCAAGGTCAGAAGTTCCTCAAAGGTCTCAGAAGAACCCAGGGTCCTGATTGATGACAAATTAACTTTTGAGTATCCGGGAGTAGTTGTAATGAATGTCAGCAAGTCCGATTTGGCGGAATGCCTGTTTTGCATTTTGATCATGAGCTTGTCTCTGCTGAATGGAAGAGTTCGCTGTTGATGTCGTCTTTGGTCAAACTCATTCCCGTTGCAATCGATCGTAGCTTCAACTAAGTTGGACACACGACTATTGTTTTGGTGTTCCAATTAGTTAAGATGTTTTTGAAAGTCTGTTACTGAGGGGCATGCATGTGCGATTATTCCTGCTGAAGAGAGGTTGCGATTGAAAACTAGAGAATGGTAGAGAAGTACTCTCTAGTTACACTAGTACAAAAAAGAAAGTACTCTCAATGAGCCTTCTAACAAAGTGAATATTTTATCAATTTCTTGACATGAACTCATTACAAAGTAATGACTTCAAGCGCACGAATACTTTCGTCTCTCTCTCTCTCAGACACTCATCAATCCACTGACCTCCACCAGTCTACACAGGAAGCTACGAACACATGAAATGCAGAGGAGAAGCTTAACACAAGATGTGTTTCACAATATTGTCGCGGTCGATTACTAGCATGTGGAAGTGCGAGGGAAACGTCTTGTTACAGGCAGTGACACATCTGGGTTCCATGCTCGAGGCCATATTCCGGAGGAATGAGCTACAGAAGGCGACGGAGGACGGGATGCTACGGGGGGGAGAACAGGGTTGTAGTGGAAGCGAGGACCGCGGCAAGCAACACAATGTTCGGAAAAGAACTGCAAAAAAGGACAAAAATAGCAGAAAAGGGCTGGACTGCATACGGCTAGGGCCCATTTGAATGTAAAATTGAAATTTTTGTGATAAGTTATCAGACATAGGGTTAGATTTGAAATTATGACAAAATTGAGGGGTATGTGTGCTATTATCAAGAATACGGGGGTATTCTTATTATTTCATAAAAAATAAAAAAATCAGGGATAGTTTTGAGATTTTCCCTAAATTTAATACACTCCATGAGTAGTTTCTTACGTCTTCAGTAAAGGCATGAAACATTATGGTTTGGATTTCCAAATGAATACATTGTTCTAAAGTAGTGCCGAACAATAGAGTATAACTCATATTAAGAACATAAAATTAACTCATATATATATATATATATATATATATATTATAACTCATATTAAGAGCATTGAATTTATTAAAACACATAACATCATGGATGTTTCCTAAATGTATAACATGTAATTATTTCTTCCTTTGTTTTTGTTTTTTGTTTTTGGGAAAGTTTCATTTGTATCCCTGCAATATGTGGTAATATCAAGAATATCCCTGTATTCTTGATAATCACATAGGTACCCCTGATTTTTCTCATAATTTCAGTAATTTCTCATAATTTAGCTCATTTTGAGGCCCAAACCACATGCCGTGTATATTTCAGTGGGCTCCACAAACCAGACCCCGCAGCTGCTCTGCCATTGCCACCACTGATCCCTTGGTATATTACCCTTCAAGGGAGTCCTCTTTTATGGAGCACCTAGATGTGGTAAGACAATGCTTGCAAAGGCTATTTGCCAACCAGTATCAAGATAATTTCATCAATGTTAAAGGTCCTGAGCTTTTGACTATGTGGTTTGGAGAGAACGAGACCAATGTACAAGAAATCTTTGACAAGGTCCAAGGATCAAGTCTTTGTATGTTCTTCTTCGACAAGCTCAACTGCATTGCTACTCAAAGAGAAGGCAACAACGATGATGTTGGTGGTGCGGCAGGTTGTGTACTCAATTACTTGCTCACAAAGATGGACTGCATGAATCCAAAGAAAATGGTCTTTATTGTAGGTACTACAAATCAACTTGATATTATTGACTCTGTCCTGTTGCGACTGAGAAGATTGGGCCAATTGATCTACATCCCACTTCCTGATGAAGCTTTTAGGCTATGTATCTTTCAAGCATGTTTGCACAAATCGCCTATTGCTAAGGAAGTCGATTTGAAGGCACTTGCTCGCCACACTATGGGCTTCAGTGGTGCTGATGTTACCAAAATCTGTCAATGGGCTTGTAAATATGCAATTTGTGAAAATATTCAAAAAGTATGTATATAGACAACTCTAGAGTTTTGTTGTTTCAATTAGATTTACATGTCTTTTTCTTAGATTTGTTGTTGGGATATTAGCAATTTCACTCCATGCCTCTCTTTAAGATAAGGGGATTAATGGACTTGGATTTTCAATGCTTGTGTTCAGAATATTGATAAGACAAAAAAGCGAGCTAAGAATCTAGAAGCAATGGAAGAAGATAATACCAATAAAGTGTTAGAGATCAAAGCAACACACTTTGAAGAGTCTATGAAATTTGCTTGTAGAAGTGTTAGTAATGCCAACATCAGCAAGTATCAAGCTTTTGCCCAAACGTTGTTAACGTTGTTAACGTTGTTAAGAGAATACAGGAGTGTTCTTGATATTACCACATATTGCAGGGGTTCAAATGAAATCCCCCCCCCTCTTTTTTTTGCCAATAAAACTTTTAAATGTCTCTCTCCATTCATAAAAAATGTTTTTTCTGGAATTTTGACTCATTATA